TATATATATATATATATATATATATATATATATATCACAAAGATCAAATCCACTATATTCTTTGATTGAACTACTTTTGGTTTAATACTACTTTTTGTTTTAATATAATGAGGTTTTATAAAACTTAAAAAAAGTAAATACTTACAGGGTAGCCAAATCCTCCCATACCCAGAGAGTCTTCTAATTCCTCCTGAGAAAGAGCTTCTGTCCATAACCAACCCCACTGGTTTCTTTTATATTTTTCACCTAATTTTTTAAGGATACTTATGTAATTGTTTCGACAATCAGACTGACAATCAAGTAATTGTGGAAGAACACTGATGATGCATAACTGGGAATTTTCACAAACATCTTTTAGGATACTGCCACCAGTAAGCTGAAATTGAAGAAAGTCCAAAAATATATATATTATATAGTAAATCTTAGACAGCTAAAGACTGTAGTTTTAAACATATAACTATCAGCTATATCAATAAAAAAGTATCATCCTACATACACACATTTCTTATTTGTCTTGATGCCATTTTTGTGAATTTATAGTAGTTTAAATGGAACAGTTTGCATTTAATACAATTACTACAAACTTATGACAATATTTTATTCTGAATAAATATTAGGTGTCACTTAAGGTTAACATAGTTATTGACAACTTCAACAACCACACTTATTTTCACACATTTTGCATTTTTACCCAAATGTCATATTTCTAAAGTTGTAAGTCTATCCAGTCAATAAGACTGAAGCTATAAAATTTTTTCTCATATGGGAACATCAGAAATACAAGTGCATACAGTGACCAAAACAAAATACTAAAGGTTTACAGCTCACTCACATAACAAATCCTAAAGACTAACCAATCACTACTCTCCACTGCACAGTCTCATATGAATGGTAGAATTTGAACATACATATCCATATCATTCAATCATGTGAGACCTTCATGTAGCTATGATATTCATTTAGGAGGTCCTAGAGGTTATGCAAATGAAATATGAAAACTATAAGATGAAGAAAAGTATTGTTATAGTTAAAATGAAAAATCACCTTGCACTCAAACTATTCACAATTTGAGTGTAAATAACTACTATAGATAAATAAAATTTTTTATTAGAAAGATGTAATAATGTAATACTTTGTGTACAAAATATTTATGAATTTTAATAAAATCTTACCAGGTTTTGAGAGGAACGATCAGAGTTACAGTATGTTTCTTGCATAAATGTTCTTCCCCAATCGAGCTGATGTGAAAAACATCAGCCCGTGCCGAAAAAGGTAAGAAATTTTATAAAAGTAGTATCAGTTATATGCATACTAAATACCCATTTTATTTTATAGCTTATGTGACTAATGAGTACAAACCTCTTTTAATTCTGGAGGAGGAGCATTTTCTGCAAATTTCTCTAATGCCCAGTTAATAATATCTGATGCTGTACGACCTCCATCATACTCTTCAGCATCGTCTTTTGACCCAGCTGGGAAATACTTGATAGTTGGAAATCCTTGGATCTGATATTTTAAAAACAGCTCTTCATTCAAAAGTTACACTTTCAGATGTATTCTTTCAATACAAACTATTTTCAAACAAATTAAGAAAACTACAAATGATAGTATTGATAAGTTGTAAAATCTATATCATACACAAAAAAACCAGTAAATATAACTGGAGTAAAACAACTTAGTGTTCTACAAAAAAAAGATATATTAAGTTATTGAATTAAAACTTAAACTAATTCTACTGAAAAACTAGACTTTTTAATGTTAAGAACAGTTATGACTTAAAATATAATCAATACTGACAGTCTAAAATACATCAAATGGTCTATAAAAACAAAATTTTAATTATCAGCATATTAAATCACTATCAATTTGAAAACATTTCAACTTACTCCATATTTGTTAGCAAGAATGGTGTGTACAGTGGCATCAACGGCTCCTAGTTTAACTTTGCCCTTGAGTTCTGAAGCAGCTTCTGCCCAATGAGGGGCTAAATTTTTGCAATGTCCACACCAAGGGGCATAAAACTCCACTAACCACATGTCTTCACTTTCCATAACAGTCTCAGCAAAGTTTGAATCCGTTAATTCAATAACATCCTTTGGGTCTGCCTAGTGTGAAAATGCTTTCACTTACTCATTCATAAAAATAAATGCAAAAAGTTAATAAAAACATAAAAATTATAAAATAACAAAAAATAAAATAAAAGTAATTAGCTTAAAGTTAAAATTTTCCTCATCTGCATATGTATTTCTGATAAATACTCACCTCTCACACACACATATCTATTTTCCCCATGTATCTGCCTTAGAGATATGCATGCCACTAGTCTTTAGGCAACTCCCACCTAAACACAAGATTTCTCATGATTTGCACTACTGCATAATGACTATTTCACAGTAAAAGCTCTCCACCAATAGGAGGGGGACATAACCTCCCTGTGCACTAGCTCCTCTATGCTTTTGAAATTGTGATCTTCATTCTATAACAACAAGGCAAAGAAAACAAATGTAGTTGCACAGAATGTGGGGCAGAAAGGTGTGAAGAGGTGAATATCTATAAGAAATCCAATTTCAGCTTAGAAAAATTTTAATATCTGAGATGATACACATGTCTCACACAGAATGCTAAAATCCCACATTGATATAGTGGAGGGACCAGTGCAAAATGTACCTATATGAGCTCTCTGCAGAAAGCACCTGAAGGAAACCAATGTAGTGTGACTCTTGATGGCAAGAGCTCCATTGGGGCACATTCTTCTCCCAGAAGAGAATGGAGGAAGAGGCAAATGAGCCCCATGTGTCACATGTATAGGTGGAATAAGAACATGTCTATCTAGGTACTTGCATACAAGGGGTCAGAGAACCAATATATGTAAGCATGGTTGAGGTGCATTCAGACCATACCTTGGAAGGAGGTCACAGAAATTAATCATGCGTGCTTGTCTCAACTCTACTGGCAGACTCTTAGAAAGACACCAGCTGCAGAAGGAGGGTACATATGGATATTATGTGCTCATCTTGACTCTACTGAACAGATGCAGACTGCAGGAGGAGGGCACAGTATAGTTTGAAGTGCTTCTTGCATGTTGTTGGTATAATTATATGAAGGGTGACCTGGGCTACATTAACAGTGTCACCACTTCCCCAGTGAGTGGCACATTTTTCTTCTAGCCCCCATGGTTAGGTCCCAATCAGTTAGGGTTTTCCATGGTCCACCACCCCAGCAGCTTGGAACTATAAATGGTAAGAGTCTCCCTTGCTCCACTTGAAGAAAGAGGGAAGAAAATCGTGGTGGGAAGACCTGGAGAATAATTCTGGATACCCATTGATCCTGTTTCAGCCAGAAAGGTCTTTTACTCGAGAGAGTGCAACAGGCTGCCACTGAATAATGGACTATCCTGGAAAAAGCCAGCAACAAGGGTGCTCTGCCTGCTTCCCTGGCTTTTCAAAATAGTCTGGATTGGACAGTAGACAGTATAGTATTCCATAAGGATACCTCAAGTGGTCTTGTGTAACACCCCATCTCAACAGTGGGCATATATAGAGCCAGGGAAAATGGTATGAGTGCTTTCCATTATTCTGGCTCAGTGTGGAATTTTGAAAAATAAATGTACCCTGAGAAGCACCACCATCCTCCCAATGGGATCCTGTAAGCAAATGCTATAAACCAAAAGAGATTGTTCTCATCTGTCCAAAGATGATGGGTAGGTTGTAGGACGGCAAATAGTCAGGACATGACTTTTAGAAGACGAACCACCAGATGGCATGAACTGGGCACAAAGGTCTGTTTGGATCTGAACGATCATAGAAGAAGGAAATAGAAGAAAGGAGTAGAGGTCTCTTCCCCAAATGATTGAGAGAAAAATGACCAGTCTGGGGAAATAAGAATGATGGAAAGGAGACGGGATGAGTCACTAGCATAAAGATCTCCATGATGTCAACCACAAGTGAAAAGTGAAAGGAATATGTCCAAAAATAAAGTGGTAGAAGTTCCAGGTTCCCAATGGCTCAATGGGCACATGTAAGAGTGTGCAGGATGACATTGAGGTCCCAGTCAATCATGGGAGCAGGTTGAATATGTCTACAGATAAGGAAGGACCGGAATGGAGGAAACACCTTGCAGTATTGAAAAATGTTAAATGGTGAAGAAAAGGCTGCTCAATAAATGAACAGCCTGATAAAGGGAAGGGTGGTGTTCGATGATAGAACAAACAAGAGGAAGGTGGTGACAGATGGGCCAACGTCAAAAGCCATGCTCCCCACGTGGTAGAAAGATCAGGTAGAATGATACCCAGACTAGGAAATGAAAGAATTACCAGACAGGATAGTCCGATTCAATGGGCTATGGACAAGTCTAATCCAAACAAGAAGACGGAAGGACAAGATCCTGTAATAGAAAAGAGATTAGATATGTTGAAGCAACTGTGTATATAATAGGCAAGGGAAGAGTGGGTGAGGTTGTTAAGTGGCACAGAAGAGGGAACCTAAGGTAAGTCAGCCAAAGGGTTACCACCAAGATGACACAACAAAAAGTGTCTAGTCAAGACTAGGACACTAGGTAAAGGCTTGAAACAAGAGGGAGAAGCATAGGTGAAGAGGTGTAGGTCTAATGTGAGAGGGGATAATGGAACACAAATGGTGATATTGGACTGGTACATCCACCCAAACAGATACTAGCATAGAGGAAGGGACAGGGAAACATTATTATAAGTATTAGACCAGACCTGGTGGAAGGCAGCAACAACCAGGGCCAAGAGATGGAGCACAGATTATCAGAAGAGAGGAAGCATGAAAGTAAGATGGTTCACTAAGCAACAATGAGTGGAGTCCTCAAGAGAGCATCCCCAAATGGAAATTGGGGGAGAAGAGACCATCTGCAGGAAGAACATGAATCTGGCCAAAAGAGACAGTGTGCAATCCAGTATATAACAGGCAAGAAAACCATCTCAGTAAGAATTGGCCCAATAAGGAAGATCTGGGGATTGAAAGCAAGGGGCTCTACCCCATGCCAGTTAATTTTAAAGAAAACCAAAGAATTGTTAGAATGGAAAATAACAAAATTATATACTAGGAGTGATAATAATAGTATCATGCCCAAAAGTCTACCAGAAGATTTAGCAAGTTGCTCTCCAACAAGAGAGGGAAGCATAGGTGAAGAGGTGTAGGTCTAATGCGAGAGGAGGTAATGGAACACAAAGTAAGTTGTAGTTGGAATTTTCATCCAATAGCCTTCTTTTTCCCAAAGTTTACAAGTAAACCATTTAAATTTTCATACTGTGAGAATTCTATAGATATTATGCAAAAACTCATCATAAAAACTTTAATTTCTGCCACTGATTAAATAGGTTCGTTGTTTTCTATATTTAAGTTGCACAGGCTGAACAATGAACAGCATTTTTTTTTACACTGTCCACTACTAAATTACCTACAATATAAAATAAACATTTATTAATATTTTAAACAAACTATTCAATTTTGATTGAAAACTCGCATACCTAAAAACTTTAACACGTTATTCTTACTCACAGATGATATATATGAAGTCTAAATAGAAAAGCTTCCTTTTAATATAATTTAAGTGTCAGAATGGTAATCCAAACCATCATCATAATATTTAAACAAAACTTTCCAACAAGAGCTTTAATTGAGCTGTCTCACATATTTTCAAAGGAAATGATCATTTCTCATGAAATTTTAAGAGTAAATTAGTAAGTATTTGTAATAATGAATTTATTACCATATTGGTTAATTAATATTTGTAAAACATTAATGCTAAGTTAATTTTTATTGTAGGTGATACTGAGAAAGTTTTTTGGTGGCATCTTGGTTCAAATTTGAAGAATAATTACTAAATCTGCAATTTTTGGAAATATACAACATCAGATGTCAGTCATTACTATCTTTGTATAAGAGTCATATTCAAATAAACCAAAATGTACTGTCTAGGGTTAATAACAGCTGAGAAAGGATTACCGAGATATAACAATATCAAATATTAGCAACTCCGAGCCAATTTTCAGCCAATCAATGGAATTACAATGCATTGATTAAAATCACACAGTAATAGGACTTCTTATGTAAGACAACCATAACAGATTTTATTCTGAAACAAAATGTAAAATATTCATAATTTTAGAATGCTCATGATTTTTTACATATTACTCTGATTATTTACCACAATGGAAGTTACTTACATTTCGTTTTCCACCTCCACTACTGCCTCCAAATTTTTTTCCACCAAGTTTTGCTTCTACATTTTTTCTAAGTTCTCGAAATGCAGCATCAACCAATCCCTGAGCAGTTCGGGCACCACTGTAGTCTTGTGGACTCTTTTTATTAGTGCCAAAAATCTTGACTGTAGGAAAACCCTTTACACCATACTCTCCACCTAGCGATTTTTGTTGATCAGCATCTACAGCTCCCACCTTAACCACTCCCTAAAAAAGAAATATAAGAACTTGAAATTATCATCATGTAATGTTCCAAAATAATTTATTGAAACAAAAACTTTAAAATTTTTTATTACTAACAAACCTTTTCATCTACAAATTATATTTCTAGACAAAATTATGTAAATGTGTTAATAAAAACAAATTTCACTGGGTCCACTAAAAAACAACAACTGCACACTGAGTAATGAACTGGGTTGAAACTTTGTTTGCTTGCAAGTTGAAACCCAGGTAATTTAAATGGTAGAGTGTTGGTCTACGTAATATAGATCGTGCAGAGGTTTCTGCATTCAAGCACTAGCCAGGATAGAATGCTTTTCAGTTATTTCAGATTTTTACCAGTATTATGCATGTGTGCTGATGTCAAGAATAATGCTGTTCTCTAATTTCTTTACCTCCAAATTTCTTTTATGTTTAATGATTACATTCAATGATGTGTTTTTTTCAAAACTTATAAAAACATCAATATATTTTATGTTCAATTTTCTTACATTCTTACCTTTAATGCAGTGGCAGCTTTAGAATATTCTGGTGCAAATGACTGACAATGACCACACCTGTTCAAAAATATTTAAATGTATATTAATTAATGTTCCTTAATGAAAATGTTAAGCACAAATCAGTAACATTAATGACATGTACAACCACGATATTAAGACACCATTAAATATTACATATTTCTTAAATAAAATTTATATATCAGATTAACCAGATGTGCATGGGGTTGGTCCATTGGACGTATTACCATATTGGCTAATTAATATTTTGAAAACATTTATGCTAAATATTTTTATTATTATTGTAGATAATATTGGGAAAGGTTGTTTGTGCCATCTTGTTTCAAATTTATAGAAAGATTAAAAAATCTGTGATTGTTCGAAACATAAAACATTAGATGCCAGTCATTACTAATCTTTGTATGGAAATCATAATAAACTAAACTATACTGTTTAAGGTTATTACAATATCAAATATTAGTAGGTCTGATCCCATGGTGGTGAAGGAATGTAGACTGTAAATCCAAATTTAATGGATGTATCTACATGAAATATGGCTAAAATTTAGTAAAATGTACAAGACTGTTGTACATAAAAAAAATCAGATGTGATACAGCAGCAGTTGTACTTAAGATATGTCTGTGAACCTACAACATCAGTTTGACAGAAACAAGTTGGAATGCAAGGTGATGTTCATGTAAAGAATAAAAAATACTTATATTCATCATGCAATTTGCATATTGCATTTGCTACACCTATAGAACCTCTGAAATGCAATACAATTTTGTCAATACCTATATCTACCTATCTATATATATATATATATATATATATATATGTATCTTG